AAAATAATCAATCACTTTTATCTCTTGTCTTTTCTCCAAGAGTGAAATTCAGTGCAACTTTAGTCCAAATCCTAAGCATTGTGCATGTAGGGAATGGTCTGAGGCTGTGCATAGAGAAATGCGCCACCTTTCTCGAGGCGAGTTTAGCCCCAAGCGCAACACAGGGTGCTTGGTTCACTAAGTCTCCCTCGAGGTTCAGGAGCAACTGACATCATGGGGAATGAAGATTGCAGACGCATCTTTTCCAGCGAGACGAGACGGACGGCTCCTCCGTGGGCCCTGACTCACCCGGCGGCGCATGGTGTGCTGGCTTCCCCATTGCAGCTGTGGGACTGAGGGGGAAATGCGCTCACCAAGCCCATGGGTGTGGTGGGACAATGAACTCCATGACCCCCCTATGGAGGATTTGGAGCAATGAGGCAACACGACAACAATTTTGCTGCTCAGGATTTTTTCCTCCTTTCAGGGGGAGTGGAAGAGCAAAGGATGGAGGGCAACTCCAGGCTTGTAGTTGGTGGGCAGAATGCACCCCTTGTTTTCTATGGGTGCCCAGAAGCCTTTCAGTGCCGTGTACTGGGGGGGGAAACACATGCGGCCCCTGGACCACATGTGGCCCCCAGGATGTTTTTGTGCTCCCCCTTAGACCTCACTACATGTAGGGTTTGTAAAAATTGCCCCCAAATGCCTCCTTCAAATCGTCCTGGGGGCAATTAATCTATACATACAATCATAAGATTCTATTTTCTTTTAATTTTAATTTTTATAACAAACAATTCCCTCCCCAAATAATGACAAAAAGAAAACAACAATAACACACACACACATCCTAATTTTCCAAGTTCATAGCATCTATAAAAGACAAACAATCTTTCAAGAAAAACACTAAACACTATGAAAAAAATAAACAAATATTCATACAAATGCATAAACCTAAATACATGAACACTGTTTCCTATAAATTCCCCTGGATTTCTGAGATTTGATAATCCTATTTTCTCAATGTCTGGATGAGCCTAAATTCTATCATGTCATTGCAGTGCATCTGAAATAAAGTTAGTAGTAATGCTCTCTGTAATTCTTTTGTTTTACAAACTATTAAGTTTTCAAAACTTTGTTGCAGTTTCTTAATACCAGAGCCCAATCCATATCAATATTTTCAGTTGCTTTATGATTTATGTACACTGTTGTGGCTAAACCATTTCCCTTTACTTCAAAAGCTATTCTTCAATAGTTGGTAGTTGAGATATTTTCCATGTTTGTGCTAGCAAAATTCTGGCAGCAGCAATCATATATAAGAGCAGTTTCCAATGTTCAATCATAAGATTCTGTTAATCTATGGATGGGCATTTCTTGGGCGTGCTTTGGTTGTGTATTCCTGCATGGCAGGGGGCTGGACTAGGTGACCTTTGGGGACATCTTTCAGCTCTTAAGATTCTGTGTTCCTATTTTGGGTCCCCTCCAGGCCATTTTCAGCCCACAAGAACCCCTTAAAAATGTAAGTGAGCTGGGAGTTGGGTGGACCAATGTGCCCCTCTAATCCCTAGTAGTTGCCCACTACATCCTTATGTACCAGCATTAGAACAAACAGCCTGGCACATCTTTTTTATTCTGGTTGTGCTTTCATTTAATGGTTTGCTAGAAGCTTAGAGTTGGAAGGTACTCCCAAATGCCATCTAGACTAACCTTCTGCAAATACAGGAACCCATAGCTGCGACACCTCTAAGCGGTGGGTACTCAACTTCAATTTAAAAAGAAGCAGGTAGATGTTGGTGTTTGGATCATTCATGGTGGAATGATTCTTTGTGTGAAATGCTGTTCCAAAATCATTAAGAACCCCATCTCTTATTGATCTGATCAAGGCTTGGGAAACCGATTCTTTTTGGACCACAACTCCCAGAATCTCCATAGACAGTATGTCCTCTGGGAGTTGTAGTCCGCAAGAAAAACATCCCCAGACTTTCTCTTTCCAATATACAATATTGTTAGGTAACACAGTTCACCTTAGTGTCGACTTATAAACTTGAAGGCACACAGCAACAACAAATGCAGTTGACATGAAGGCTTAGAACCTATTGCTGGTTAACTAACTAAATACCCCACCTTCTTCCAGCACAGAACCAAAGAAAACTTGCAAGATATGTTAAAGCAAATCACAGCTAAAAACCTAGTACTGTAGTGGAAAGTTTAAAAGAGAATGTAATTAGCACTCTTATTAAAAAGGTTAATTTAAAATAATTTGAAACACTAGAGTAGATCCATTGAAACTTGGTAAATGAGCTGTTCCCTAAGTTTCACATTACTACTCTCTTTGGGACTAGCCCTGTATGTATATGTGAACACACACACACACATGCATACACATATATGGGTTGGGTCTTCTTCATCCAACATCCAAAATATTCCAACATCCAATTTTTTTTCCGTGTGTGGCTGAGATAGTAAAACCTTTGCTTTCTGAAGGTTCAATGTACACAAATTTGTTTCATGCACAAAATTATTTAAAATATTGTGCATAAATTTACCTTCAGGCTGGATGTATAAGGGGTGCATGAAACATACATAAATTTTGTGTTCAGACTTGGGTCCCATTTCCAAGATGTCTCATTATGTACTACTATTACTAATCTTTGCCTGCAGATGGAAGGATTCTAGCATTCTAGCTTCCATAGGAAAGGTGTTCAAAGGTCTAGGAGCAGCCACCAAGAAGGGCTTGTATGGTGTTAGGATCATGGGCTCCTAAAAGTTGGCAGGGGTCCCTAAGGCCATCCAAACAATTCCTATGCAACTGCAGGGGATCCACAACTAAGAAGATCCTTGACTAGTGTCCTCCAGTCTCTAGGTCATTGGAGCATCTCAATTTTGGTGTGTGTTGTTTGTGTGTGTGAACTCTACAATAGAGATAACCTTCTTTTTTACCCTGTGTTTGCCTCTCCCATTGGCCTCTCCTCCTTCCTAGTCCTCTTTCAATGAGAGTGGTAGATAATGCCATCAAATGATGGGACTTTACTGTGCATTCAGCACAAATGGGTGCCACAGTTATCACCACAAAAGTGCCAACTGGGAAATTGGTGCAATTTTGCAAACACAGGTGTTATTGTCACTTTCCTTTTTCTTTGTCTCGATGGATGATAAAAGGAGAGTGTTCCTGACCCAGGGAAAGGTGTAATTCAGCCCTGGTGGTTAGATGCCAAGGTATTGCCAACCCCATGGTGGCAATTTCTGTCCTGAAATCTGTCCCAGGCAACAGAGAGACAGTATAGAATTTGTCGGCATTTGTATACCAGCATGTTTCAAGTTACACTATAAGCCACCCTTCTTAGATCCCTTGTTGGGAGGAAAGTGAGCAATTAATTCATTAAATCAACATAACCTTCAGTTGCATTTAATGCCAACATTAGGAGAGAAATTAGGAAAGCATTTATGCAGAAATTAGGAAAGAAATTAGGAAAGCATTTGTGCAGAAATTGGGGAAGTTAAGTTGCTGTTGTTGTTATGTGCCTTCAAGTCAGCTCCTGTTCCTAATGATATCATCCTAGGGTTTGGGGGCCGATGGATACAGAGGGGATTTACTCTTGCATCCCTCTGAGGCTGAGACAGTGTGACTTGTCTAAGGTCACCCACTGGCTTTCCATGGCTGAACAAGTGCTCACATCCTGAACTCCCAGGATCTTTGTTGTTGTTGTTTGCTGCGTATTCCAACCCTAAAACAACTACACCATGCTTGCTCTTGTTTTCTTGGCAAGGTTTATTTAGAGGAGGTTTGCCACCATTGTCTTCTGCTGAGGCTGAGAGAGTGTGAGTTGTTCAAGGTCACCCAGTGGGTTTCCATGGCTGAGTGGGGATTTGAATCCTGGTCTTCCAGAGTCCTAGTCTGACACTCAGACCACAACACCACACTGGCTCCTATGTTAAAATGGATGCACACATGCACACAAGCACACACAAACATTGTTGTTTTGTTATGGTGGTGGTTGTGTTCCTTCAGGTCATATCTGACTTACAGCAAACCTGACAAACGTATCACAGGGTATTCTTGGCAAGATTTGTTCAGTTTGCCATTGCCTTCCCCTGAGGCTGAGAGAGTGCAACATGCCTATGTGAGTTTCCATGGCTGAGTGGGAGTTTGAACCCTGGTTTTATGGAGTCCTAGTCTCGAATCCTAGTTCTAATCCTACGCTCAAACCACTGCACCATGCTGGCACTCGAGATTTGATCTTTGCTCTGTCTTTTTTTGACTCACTGGTCTCTGCATGGCTTTCAAAATCTCCTTTTTCTTTTATTTTCTTAAAAAGAAGTGTTGAGTTCCACCAGAGTTTTAGTTGTCTTGGGCTGGTTCAAAATCATTTCTAGCCCAAGTGCTGATCCATCCAATTCACAGCATGCAGCAATTTTTAGTCTATCTTATTTCTCAATATGGTTATGCCTGTAAGTTTCAATTTTGGACTGCAGCTTCCAGAAGTTCTGGAAGTTGTAGTCTCCAAAGTAATGGCTAAGCCTTCCCTTGCCAGGCAGATCCATGCCATGTTCTGCACTCGGCATTGCTTGCGCAATTGGATCGGCACCTATTTGATCCGATCCTGGGGAGACATAGAGCTCCCACCGCCTCTTTGAAAGGGATCTTCTGGTCTCCCCCCCATGATTTTATTTCTTCTTATTTGCCCAAGATTAATTTCGCTTGCTTTGCAAGTGTCTTCAAATCCAGCTTTTGAAGCATTGCTCCAGAATTGGGGAGAGGGATTAACTTTGAGAGTGGAGGCATGATGGAGGATGCATGCAGCACAGGAAGGCATTACTTGAAGGCGTATTGTGTTGCTTCAACAGGAAGCTTTCAATGGAAGGGGTAAAAGCTCCCTGGGGTACTGGGGAAGCCTGTGAATTTGGTCAAAAAGGAGAGACTGTAGGGTGACTGAGATGGAAAAAGGCTGACTCACGGACTACTCATTTCCCTGCTCTGTGCCAACTTAACTTTAAAAAATGCTTGCCAATACCTATGCGAGGGGAGCCAGTGTGGCATAGTGGTTTGAGTGTTGGACTACAACTCTGGAGGCCAGGGTTCGAATCCCTGCTCGGCTATGGCAAACTTAGTGGGTGACTTTGGGCAAGTCCCACTCTCTCAACCTCAGCCTAAGACCATGGCAACCCCCCTTGAATAAATCTTGCCAAGAAGACCTCCTGATAGGTTGATCTTAGGTTTGCCACAGGTCAGAATTGACTTGAAGGTAAACAACAACAATCTTGTGAGAATTGTACTCTGGATCTTAGCTGCATTTACTGAGAGTTGTCAGTCCTTTCTCTATTTAAATTATTGCAAGCCACCTTGAATCTTGAATCAACGTGAATGACAAGTGGGTTATTTTACAACAAGAAAATGCGATTGGGGCAAATGTAGTGTGAACGACGCTCTGCTGTCAAACCAATCCATCAATTTGGAGTGCAAACTGATTTATTTGTAAGTGGGAAATGAGGCCTTAGTGTGTGTGCCTTCATGTCACTTGTTGACTTACGGTGACCCCATGAATTTAAAAGGGTTTTCTTAGGCAAGGAATCCTCAGAGGTAGTTTTGCCAGTTCCTTTCTCTGGAATACAGCCTATAGTACCTGGGGTTCCTTGGTGGTTTCCCATCCAAGGACTAACCAGGCTGACCCTGCTTAGCTTCCAAGATCAGACAGGATCTAGTTCCTTGTATGTCTATGTCTATGTGCCTTCAAGCTGCCTGTCAACTTACGTTGACCCCATCAATTTTGTAGGGTTTTCTTAGGCAAGGAATGCTCAAGGGTGGTTTTGCTAGTTCCTTCCTCTGAAATACACCCTCCGGCATTTGGTATTTGTTGTCAGACTCCCATCCATGTCCTAACCATGTCTGATGCTGCTTAGCTTCCAAGATCAGATGGGATCTGGTGCCTTTTAGGGTGTTTTGGCCAGCAACATCCACACAAAGCCTTCCTTCCAGGTTTGGGATTTTCTAAAGGATTGTTAATGACCTGTTAGGACACCCAGCTTGTTTGCATTTGCAGTTCTTAATGTTTCCTTGTTGTTGTTGCAGCAGCAGCAACAACAACAACAGTGAGAAAGGAGAGGCGTCTGCTTTGGCGAAGGGGATTTAGGGAGTTGCTTTTGAGTCCCCAGCCAAGTCCTCCTTCATGGGAACGCAGTTCGACAATAGGAGAAGGGCAAGCTTGGGACATTTCCGGAGGGAGGAGGGTTTTGTGATTGTGTTTTGAGTCGCTGGGTGTGGGTTCAGTGAGCCACAAGCCTACAAAGGCTTTGGACTAAATCCAGTTGTTGGTGCTGACTGGAGTAGACCCATTGAATCAAGGGAATTTACACTGGTATTTCCATTGATTTGGTGAGACTATCTTAACAATTAGATGTAGGGTCACAGTTGTGTGGCCATTCAGGTTTGAATGTTGGCCTGGGAGACCCGGGTTTGAATCCCTGCGGAACCCTGTAAGCCCTGGACCTCATTCCTACTATGTTATAAACTGATTTGCTAACCGATTTGAAGTGGTTTAAATGACCCTTGTTCACACTTGAGCCAAATTGCTGAAGTGGTTTGGCGAGGGGGGTTCCACACTAGCCCCATTTAACGCATATCTTTTGGACGCTAATTTTTTCCATGTCTTTTGCAATAAATCGATTCACTGCAAGTGAACTAGATGTGGATCAGAATCGATTTCATATGACATGATCAGCGATCAGTGACCCACTGAAAGGGTCCAATTTAAATCGATTCATTAGTCAGTTAGTCAAGTGGGTTACTTTACAACAAGAAAATGCGATCAAGGCAAATGTAGTGTGAACCATGCTCCACTGTCAAACCAATCTATCAATTTGGATCACAGATTGATTGATTAGTAAGTAGGAATGAGGCCCTGGTAAGTTGGATGGTGAGCAGCGTGGTGTAGTGGTTTGAGTCTTGGACTATGACTCAGAAGACCAGGTTTGCATGGTTGCTCAGACTTGCAAACCCCTGGGTGACCTTGGGCAAGTCACACTCTCTCAGCCTCAGAGGAAGGCAAAGGCAAACCTCCTCTGAAGACGTTTTGCCAAGAAAACTCAAGGGTAGGGTCTCTATAAGTCAGAGTCAACTTGCCGGCAGAGAACAACTACAGGTTGAGCCTCCCTTATCTGGTATTCTGAATCCCAAAATACCCCCAAATCCAAAATTGTACGTATGAGTGGCTGAGATACTGACACCATTGCTTTTGGATGGTTCAATGTGCACAAACTTTGTTTCATGCACACACAAAATTATTTTTTTAAAAAAATATTGTGTATACAATTTCTTTCGGAAATTCATAAGGTGTACTGAAACAGAAATGATTTTCATTCTAGGCTTGGGTCAGATTTTCAAGATCATGGGTCCAAAATCTGAAAAACTCCAAAATCCAAAATGCTTCGGGTGCCAAGCAATTCTGGATAAGGGAGATGCAACCTGTATGGCTATTGAATGGTGCGATACACCCAGGGACATACCTGTGGTTTCAAATGCATCAAGTCACCTTTGGCACAGAGGGCACACTCAATAGTGAAAACCAAAGGTGTGGAGAACTCGTGTGGGATGTGTACATTCTCTGAGAGCGCTTAATACCAAAACAATGTTTAAACTAAGTGCAACTCCAACAGACCTCCGGTTTGTTTGACATTGGATGCCCCCCGTCAGGTTTACTTTAAAAAAGTAACCTTAAAAAAGGCCACTTAAAACATATAATCAGCCCTCTGTATCCCCAGATTCTTTATCAAGCATCCACAGCTTGAAAATAATCAAAATACATTGTTCTTGTTGCATGCCTTCATGTTGTTTCTGACTTACGGCGATCCTAAGGTGAGCCCATTGTGGGGTTTTCTTGGCAAGATTTATTCGGAGGAGGTTTGCCATTGCCTTCCCCTGAGGCTGAGAGTGTGTGACTTGCCCACTGTCATCCAATGGGTTTCATGGCCAAGCAGATTTGTAATCCAATACTCCAATTCTATGCCACCCTGGCTCTCTCACTTACGTACTGGTTCTCTTACAGGTTTACTTAGGATGGATTATTTGCATGGGTAGGGGTTGGCTTAAATGGCCTTTAGGGGTCCCTTCCCAGCCTTTAAAAACGGCACGACCTCCAGAGTTTCTTGTCATTGCCTAGGTTGGCTCTGGAGCTGATGGGAATTAGCAAAAAAGCTGTTCTTTGCTCAGCCACTGGCTTGAAAGATTGCACCGCAGCAAACACAGCATTTGAGGAGACCCAGAGTTGTTTCAGAGTTGGGCAGCTGGGAAATGGGTATAAAAAGTGTTATTGAATTTGTGGGGATAGATACATGCCATGCACTGGGCTGACTGCTCCCTGTTTTCACAGACAGCTGAAGAAAAGGTGAAAACTCTGTACAGCCTCCGTTGTAGGGCGAAATCGACAGGAGGGATGAGGCTTTTGCTCCACGCTTTTATGTATTTGCAGGAGATCTGGAAGTGGTTGCATGAAAAAGACAAGAGGGAATGAAAAAAGGAAGATAGGATGGGGAACAGGTGGATTTTCTACCCTTGAGATCTTGCGATATAGTATGGGATATAGAGTTGTTGTTTTTTAAAATTGTAAATGTTTATTAATATTAAAACAAATAATAATACAACAAATGTCAGAAACAACAATCAACCCCCTCACTTAAACATAACATTTCCACCCTTACAAAGAAAAAAAAAAACATTTACTAATTACATACAATCTTACTAGCTAATCTTCTTTCCTAAATAATTAATACCAATAATAATAATAAATCCTCCCTCCTATTTTCCTTAAAACCCCAATCTTACATATGTTAATTGTAATACCCATCTATAACATCTAAATAAACCAAAATTCACCAATTCATAATAACATCCTCACCCCTTCTATACCCCGCTCTCCTTTTTACCTCTCTTCATTCATACTTTCTTTCACCTAACTCATTCTTCCTTTCCAATCTCTTCACTATCCCTCCACTGCACTTCCTTACCTTTCTCACTCTTTCTCATTCATTCTCCATCCTTTACCTTTCGACCCTCACTCTCCAAGAATGGGATATAGTTTTGACCTATAAAGCCCTATATAGCATAGGTCCAGACTATCTGGAAGCAGCATCTCTCCAATTGAGCTTGCCCAAATCTTAGGATCTTTGGCCTTGTCTGGTGAGGAAATGGGAGACAGAGCCTTCTAGATGTCTGCTCCTACTGGTAGTATTTTTTCAGAGGGAGTTTGCCTTTGCCTCCCCCTGAGGCTGAGAGATTGTGACTCGCTCAAGGTCACCCAGGGGGTTTCCATGTCCGAGAATTCAAATTCTGGTCTCCTGCAGTCTGGTCCAGCATTCAAACCACTACATCAAGTTGGCTTTGTGCAAAATAAACATGGAGGTGGTTATTATTATTAATAAAAGCACCCTTTTTGCAGAGCTGCACAGATTTTTGTGCAAAAAATATGTTTTTGCAGAAAATTAATTCCTCCCTTTTAAAAAAAAAAATTATATTTCTGCACAGAATTATTTTCCCGCTGAACTATGGGCCTTTGCAGACTGCCAGAAATAGTGCAAACTGAGTCCACTTTAACTGCCCTGACTCAGTGCTAGGGAATCATGGAAATTGTAGTTTATTGTGGCACCAGAGCTCTCTGGCAGAGAAGGCTCAATGTCTCAGAAAAAAATACAATTCCCATGATTCCCTAGCACTGAGTCAGGGCAGTTAAAGTGGTCTCAGTTTGCACTATTTCTAGCAGTCTGCAAAGGCCCTACACTGAATTGGTGTTTTAAAAACCAAGTGCCCTTTTTTCTGTGCTGAACTACTTTAATACAAGCTGGAAAGGAAGAAAGCTATGGGCATCATATTTTTGTTCTGCGCTTTTAGGGGGATCCTAAGGCAAGTATCTATTATGGGGCTTTCCTTGGCCAGGTTTATTCAGAAGCAATTTGGCATAGCCTTCCTCTGAGGCTGAGAGAGTGTGACTTGCCCAAAGTCACCCAGTGGGCTTCCATGGCTAAGCAGGGATTCGAAGAATCCTGTTCTCTGGAGTCCTAGTCCAAAACTCTCATTAGAGGTAGTCATTTTTGGTGGAAAGTGTCCCATC